AGATTTTCAGTACAAATCGGCAATTTCATACTTTAACCCCTATTATTAGATTACGATTTAAAATTGCAAATGGGAAAAAGACAATTATCAACAATTACTTTTTATTTTCCAGTGGATATTCTTATAACAGTCTGGTAACAAGAAATACAGAATAGCACTGATAACGAACAATCTAAATTGCGTCTAACTATAAAACATTCGGTAATAAATAGAGTACACCAATTATAAATCAAAGAAACTAGACAAAGGCGTGTATCTTAGCGAACGGTAGCTTTTTTAAACAACTTTGTTTCTATCCGCTAATAAGGAGATAGAAATATTTTGTAAGTCATAAATATTTTATTTTGTCATAAATATTTGTAAGTCATTATTTTGTAAGTTGCCGAAAATGATTCGCCAGCAGCCACCAGTGTTGTCACATTAAAAAGTCACTCACTACTAATATATTACAAAATAATTATAAAGAAAAACAATACTAAATGTAACATGCATATTTTCAAAATATATTTAGCTCATCGACGAAGCTCGATGGGTTTCACGCGTTTGTAATATTTAGAGACATTAATGCAAGAATAATACGCAAAACCGCCAATTCCATACGGAATCCAGAAAATCAATGACAGCCGTTACAAACGACCAGTTGAAAATAGTCAAGAAATTCGCACTGATATCTCATAAGGTTGACTGGAAAACGAAATACAACTACAAACACACTATTTATATACGCAATCATTACACACAATAATTTGTTACGTACGTTGTTCGTTGTGATTAATACGTACACAACGTTTGAGCCATCGCACAGAAAATGTAATTGTATATCAAAATAAGGTTGTCACGCAGCATTGTACAATTATTTGAAATTTTTTGGTAATGAATTATATTATACAGTGTATTTTTTTAATGGGACAGTATGGCGAAATCTTAAACTATAGGAGAGACATAGTCAATTTTTGGTCAAGCGTAAGCTATCCACAAAATGGAACCAAATTCATTATTTGTTTTGGTGCTGATCGACTTAGTTTCATGTAAGTCTCATTTCGTTGGATGTATGTAAGGCTAGAATCCGGGAGGATTCTCCATACTGTCACAATTAAAAAAAAATAAAGGTGTTAGGTCCGATTACAGAAAATTGGAATGTTACTAGTTGCCTTCCACGCCGCACTACCAGGATAGCAGGATATCAATACGATTTTATGACTACGTAGCTAGCGCACACAATTTCCGGGATTTCGCTAGAAACTTCTTCTATACGTCGTCACAAGAATCAACTATGCCCTTATTTCTTTAAGTAGTATTTAGGATGCAAGCCTGTCCGTGTAACGCGGTAATTCATACTTGCGCCCCGACTTTAATTTTCAGGATCTATTTTTTAGCCGATGATCTGAAACAAACAAAATTGTTTTTATTGTTCATTAATAATATTCACCATCATTAACTCGTAAGTTTTGTTGCTGAGTACGGGTCTTAATATCTTTCTATATAACATTTTCTATAGTCCGTGTTGGCCCAATAAGGGTTGAGACTTTTTTGCACGTTTTCCAAAGATTGTAAAACTTTTTCTACATGTGGATTTCACACCGTTCTTTGACTGGGCTACCATCATTCTCATACTTTGTTCATTACTAAATATTATAATTTGGTAACGAGTGTGCAGACGTTTCTAGCCGGTATATTTCAAGCAAGCAACGTAATTCTAGATACGTGTTTTAATACCCACTACATCCAAGATAAATACCGTGGGAAATACGCTTATCTAAAATAGACGAATAATTTAATCATCTGCATTTAAAATGACTGTATCATTAAATTGTTGTGTATGTTGCTATTGCCATGTGATGGTTCAAGTACAGACAGGCAAAACTCGCGAGAGTAAAAAAACGTTTGTTGGTTCAAGCTTGAAGAGATAATCCGTCATTTTTGAGAGTAAATTGCTGACTTAATGAAGTCATAACCTATGTCTCTTTTATGATATTCTTGCTTGCGACATTTGTATAATTTAGATGGACAATTCCCAAAATGGTCTATACGACCCCCAGAGGGGTCCACTCCAACCAATAAGGGATTCATGTCTGTGAAAAATATAGGGGTACATGAGACGTTGACGGGAGTTCACGAGAGTGGAACTCGTTTAGGCAGGTCGTAACCAAAATGTTGGCTTTCCATAATTGAAATAATACACATTACACTAAACTAGGTAGTAATCTGTGTATGTAATACTTTCTATAATATACATGATGTACTTAAAACATTTTACAGCTGACAAGATGTTTGGTTAGATAAAAGTTAAAATCAATTTGTTTTTTATGAGTTTCTCCTTAGACTATGGAACCAAAGGACATGTTACATTGACACATATAAAACAGACGTTATATGTATATGATGCATTTAGACGTCGAAAACATAAACGTTTTATTGTCTTTTCGTAACTATTGCGTGCCGTCGTAGGCCAAAAGAGATAACACTACGTTGATTTGTGTCAAACATGGAAAAAGAAAATACGTAACGTCATCTTAAATTCGTTTATTCCGTAGATAGGGCAGCTCCTTTCCTTAATTTTTTCCATCCTCTAAGAGTTTCTCACTAACACTGTGACATCTGTCAAACATACATTTGAAGTTGATGTAATTTGTAAAAAAAAACCAAATTTTTGTTGAAAAACCAAATACAAAGACACGACAACAAGCACGTAGGAAAATGGAATAATAAATGGAAGAATAAAAAAAGGAGTAATTTCACAAAAAATGGTTGAATATCAATTCAATAAAAATTTTAAATACAGTGAGCAGCGACATCTCTCGCCAGGATCGGTAGCTGTAAAGGTATCTAACAGGGTGATCAAACTTTCATAGATTTCTTATAGATGGCGCTACGACTAAAAAGTAGTTGAAAAACCAAATACAAAGACACGACAACAAGCACGTAGAAAAATTCGTGAGGTCTGCTGGTTCGTTCCGTGCTTAGGCACGGTATGCTAGAAGACGTCGGTTCGAATCTGGCCGGATCGAAGGAGTTTTTTCTGAGTGTTCGATCTTTGTATTAATAATTATAACAAACTAGTGGAGTAATTTTACAAAAAATAATTGAATATCAATTCAATAAAAATTTAAAATACAGTGAATAGCGACATCTCTCGCCAGGGCCGGTAGCTGTAAAGGTGATACTGGGTGATAAAACTGGGTGATAAAGCTTTCATAGATTACTCATAGATGGTGCTACGACTAAAAAGTCGTTGAAAAACCAAATACAAAGACACGACAACTAGTAAAGAAAAATTCGTGAGGTAGCTGGTTTAGTTGGTATAGCGTCAGGAGGTCTACACTCGATCTTCGTCCGACATCCGTCCAAAACAGTTACTGCCAAATAAGCAATACTTGACCAAATGAAAAGACGCGTGTTGCGAATGAAGATTCATACTTGATACTTGTCTTTTAATTTTGTCGAATATTACTTATTTTATAGTAATTGTTTCGGACGGATGTCGGACGGAGATCGAGAGTTGACCCCTTGACACAGTAAGCTAGAAGACGTCGGTTCGAATCCGGCCGGATAGAAGGATATTTTTCTGAGGTTCGATCTTTATAATAATAATAATATTAACACACACACTCAACCTAGCCCCGCACTAGGGAAACCCTGTATCGTGTGTGCCATGGACACATACATAGACAACCACAAATTACACCCAAACTCACGAGAGAAATAAATGTAGGCCATACAAATATTTCTCCCGGCCCGGCCCTGGATTCGAACTTGGGACCTCTGCGTGGCAGTCCGGCATGGTAACCGTTCGGCCACGGAGGCAGTTCAATGTATTAATAATCCTCTTCTTCTTTCTTTAAGTTCTTTGTATTAATAATTATAAGAATTATGTATATTATACGTTTTTAAATTAATCATAAGTCAATGATCACAAGACTTGATCGGCAAATGTAGATCAAGGTTTTTTTATAATAAATATTCAGAAAAAATGCCTATTTTTCACACATCCGCATATGCCGATTTGAAGGTGAAAACATTCGCATCCGCGTCCGCATCTGCCGTTATGTTGTCATAACCCACATCCACAGCATCAATGATTTAGATATGAGATCCCTGCGTCGCTAACTCGAGTCACAACCGCTACTTAAGTATGGTGTAATTAGCACACGGCCGGTATACTAACTGTTACGTGGCAGAACGACTGCCTGACGGTCACTGACGGTGCATCGGTGCAGGTTGCTGCGGAACATGTACTGAATGGTCAAGTGCTTGTCGTCGCCAACACTCGGGTCGAAGAAACCGGGCAATTCGGACTGTAACATGTCAAACATAAATACAAAAGTGACATTTACTTTAAGAACAACCAGTAATGTAAGGGGGTTAACTTTTGATAATTTAATGGGATAAAAAGTCCAAAAATTACTACTTAAGAGTCAATAATACCAAGTAACGGGACGAACAAGTCGTGGGCATGGTAGTAAGCGACACGCCTGTCCATAACAGTTGCAAGAGAGGTGGTGAAATTACAGGCACATGAGACTTGTTAACTTGTTGTTGTTTCAGGGTGACAGACGCAGTGGCAATGTCCCCCAGATCATAGCGACTCAAAGCTCTGAGTGGCAACTACTATGGACAGACGCACGGCTTGTTCGTTCCGTCATTAGGTTCTTAATGTCAAGTGACGGGACGAACGAGTCGTGCGCCTAATGGTAAGCTTCACGCCTGTCCATAACAGTTGAAGTGCCACTCAGAGGTTTAAATCGCAAAGAACTGAGGCGCATTGCCACTGCACCCGTCACCATGAGACATAAGTTGACAAGTCCCATGTGCCTGTCATTTCACCAGCACCTTTACCCTTTAAAACCTGAACGCAGTAATGCTAACATTACTGCTTGGCGGCAAAAGTAGGTAAGATGGCAGTACTTCCCTGGATGAACTGTTTCACACGGAGCTCTACTGCTACTATATCATAAAAAGGCCTGTTCACTTATTCAACAGTTATGAGGCTACAGTGTCACACCCAGCATTCTGGAATAATATCTTCTTTATTTTTTTCATATGGTTTAAGGATTTACCTTACTAGCCTCCAGTAGTTCTAAGCGCGAGTCTTTGACGAGACACTGGATTGGAATGGTAACGTCGATCACTTCGCTGTAAGGCACGGGGGAATCTGGAGAGACGCCGTCGCCGAATTGTTCTACTGATACGTCGTGGTGTGACAGCCCTGTAAAAGACTACTTTTAAGACTTCAAATTATAAATTTATAGTAGTAACACTATATCTATGTTTGTACAAACTGCCATTGTAATATTTGTAAGCTATTGGGAGAAAATAAATTTCTATTCTATGCCAAGTAAATACAAAAAATAAATTGATTATAGATACAAATTATAGACACATTCCAAATTTAATCAATTAATAATTTATTTGTGGCTCATCATCGTCAATCCGTTATACGTACCCCAATGCTAGCCACGAGGTTTTAGGCGGTAGTCTGTTATAATAGCCCAGTACGGGTTGAGAACTATGTTTTCCAAAGGTTTTGGATCTTCTCCCACGCGGAGGTATTATCACGTCAGATTTTTTTTAAATAAATGTTAACTACACTAATAAACTATGTGATGACGAGTCGAGTGTATGTGTATGTTTGTACGTGTGTGTTTGATGGTGTGTGCGAGTACGTGTAAAGAGGCAGAGTGTGCGGAGGTGAGCATGCGCGCGCGTTCTTGCGTGCGTGCGTTTGTGTGTGTGGAAAATATTGTGTAACAAAATATATATTTCAAATCAAGTGCAATTTCTAAATCAAGTTCGAAACTATATCATTATTGATAATTATTATTATTAATGTGTATGCAGTATTAGTATGACGGCATCGAGTATATAACCAGAAATAGAGGCGAAATATCATTTAATTTGTTTGAAATCTATTCAGCCAAATCATTACGGTGACAACAGCGCTCCGATTGGCCAGCCCGAATTCGAAACAATTGACGGGTGTCGTCAATTATTTCACTTTAAAACGACCAGTTTAACTTGAGCTTTGCAATAATGGACGAAAATTGAAAAATTACATATTCAATATTTAATTACCGATGCAATGTGATTCCGTTTGTTTTGTAATTAGAAGTTTTAATGTCTTTCCCACACCACCGAATGGAACACCCTCCCATTGTTAGAGATATTATCTTTATTACAATAAATACGGAATATTTTTGGAATATACGGAGACGTACACACAGGCCAGTTGTTGGCGCTGTGCTACACCAGCCAACATTTGCCTGATGAGTTGCCAGGGATGGATGGCCCTTATTTCGTCTCTATTTCTGGTTGTACACGTGACGTATGTAGGTAGGGGAAATGATTTCATCATCAAGTAAGAAATTTCAAACAGTTACTTGCAACGGATATTTAAAAACTCACCCGCAGGAAGCTTTCCGTATATAGCTCGTACTATAACGAGCCCCTTTTTCTTTTCCTCTTCACTTCTTATCCTGGAGTACGTTTCCCGCATTAACTCTACAGTGGCACGAGCTTGACGCTGCATTTCCTGCAACCTACACGGAAATTAAATACTAAAGTGTTTATGCTACTCTATGTTAATTGAATAATCATAAGCTTCAAATAAGTGATAGAGTGAAATAGATCGGACGTGCCCACAAAAGGGATTCGTAGCAGTTACATAGTTCGGCTTTGGATTGTATGCAATTTATTTACTTTTTATTAAGAGCTACTTTAAACGGAATATTTAAATGTAATGTAAATGGATACAAACACTATTATAATATTGTGAAATAAATCATTGTATCATATGTTGATACACATGCGGAGTCCAGCAGTATGAATTAATGAAACTATATTTACGGTTCGGGCTCCATACAGGTCCTATGGTCACGGCTGATATAATGAATTGTTTAAAAAAATTAGAAACTGAACTCCCTGAAAACAACTTTAACGGAGAATATCTCATCTAGAGCAAATGTCGTTAGTGAAAGGTATGGCAACTAAACAGAAACAACGTACAGTCCTATGAATTATTTTTTTGGCACTTTTAGTCACCTATCTAACGACATCCCAATCACTTTTGGTTTCATGGGGAGTTTTAACATCTTCTCATTCACAAAAGAAAGTCATACTTTCTCTTTATTGTTACTACTACTACTCCTCATTAACTTGATTAGGTTATTAATTTTATCGTCAATCATGTACGTATTCACAATCAAATTTATAGCAAAGACATAATGAAATCTCCCATGGCATAGTTTCTCAAAGTGGTTAGAGACCACCGTCCTCCAGTGGGCTCCGAAGAGTCCTAGAGGGAGGTAGGTGCCTCGGAAGCAATTGGGGAGCATTGATGCTGTCCAGGGGGTGTACTGCATTTGAATAAAAAAGCCTGACTTATCTATATAAATTGCGCTACAAATATATAATTATTTTTCCTTGTGATTTTTTTGTGTTAAGTTGATATAAAAAATACGTGTTTCCAATTATTTTTTGTAGTGACTGTCGTTGAAATTTTTTTATATTGCCTAAGTGTTTAGTGTAGTAAGCCAAAATGTTCGGGAACGTATGTCCTATAACGTCCAAACTTAATAACAGGCTGCACAAAGTGACTCGATTTCGCACGTTACGCATGACATGAGGTGCGCGATAAGAGCCTCCCCGCACCATGTACCATTATTTTTCCATACGTCCAGGTTGCGCAACCTGGGCAACAATCGGAGAGTACATACGCCGATTAGCAAATCCTTTCATCACGACGGTAAACACGTGCCATCGTTCAGCATTAGAGGTGGCTCTGTGCGTAGTCCCGATTAACATAGACAGTTTTTCACAAAGTAAATCACAAATTATTTCAGAACTCTGCCGCACCTTGCACTACGACGTCTTGTCACCTCACATCTGGGGGGCTACTCTCGATCTCCGTCCGACTTCCGTCCGAAATAATTACTGTCAAATAAGTAATATTCGACAAAATTAAAAGACAAGTATCCAGTATGAAGCTTCACTCGCATCATGCGTCTTTTCATTTGGTCAAGTATTGCTTATTTGGCAGAAATTGTTTCGGATGGATATCGGACGGAGATCGAGAGTAGACTCCATGTCCCGCATGCCCTAACACCATCACGGTGGAGGATTTAAAGGCGGCTACTGTTACTAGTGACACGGTCAGCGTGGCTAGCTGGAGTTCTGGCCACAATAGAATAATGTATGCCATCGATACGATTAAATAAATAAATTAAATTAGTTTTTAATAAATAAAAAAATAAAAAATAAAATAAATTAAAAAGTTAAATTAAGTAAATTAGCTTCTTCGTACAAGCAATTCGATTTCAAGAAGAGGTGAACGACAGACGCGTGCGAACACACCAATAAGTATAATTCAGCTGCCGTAATCAGCGCCAATGAATCGTTGTCTATACAAACTGCGTACTCAACGAATTTTGAACAAAAACTTTCATTGTCAAACCTTTCGTAGTTAGCTTCCATTGATCGCTGTCTTTCACGCTCCTGCCGTTCTTTAGCGATGGGGTCCAAGACAACCTTCTTCAGCAAGAGCCAGGACACCAATGGGACAACAGTCGCGTAGAACACGGGCGACGGCAACACCTCTTCGCATAGATGGATTGGAATAACTATGGACTGTGTTGAACAGGTCCACCTAAACAACAAAAATTAAGTGCTGTACATGGAAACATGTTACAAATGCTATTTCATTCAAAATATATGTATATTGTAGTATGATTATTTACTTGAGTTTAAGCATTACGCCACTAGGCACACCTAACATGACCGCTGCCGACACACTGCTGTTTTGTGACACTTTCTTCTCCGCCCCATACTCAGCTATGACACCAAATGTTCCCAACCTGTAAATTATTTTACGTCTATCTTAAAATCTATGCATATACCATAAACAATTCCAAACACAAAAGACAATTGTTTGCTGGAACATTCACCAAAAAGTTTAGAATAGGTCAATTATTTTGACAGCAGTTGTCAAGATACAGATTTGACTTTGCAACTCGCTACAGCCACCTAAATAAACTCAAAGTAAATTCGCAAATGTCTGTTAAAAACATAGTACCTATACTTCAAATATATTCAATATTATGTGCATCAATCTAAACTCATTGCATTGTCAAAGTAATTGCGTGAAAAAGAACGCAAAGCTCAGTCAGTTAAATATAAAACATGTTTTTTTAAGTACAATATATCAAAATAGGTACAACCATTTTATAAATTGTTTACAATTTGCGCAAGATCGAAATAATTGATCTACTTACTTGAGTGCCAACCGCAACTTCATTTCATGTTGGGGCAGTTTCCTCATGATGTTGAATGAGATGAACGAGTGTGGATTGCCTATCTGCACGGCCGTGTTTGAGTGGTATTTTTCAGAGTCTCTAATATAAATGGAAGTCATAGAAGAACCACCTTGCCCTCCAGCGCGATAGGTTAGATATCCCACTGAATGAGCGTCCAATTGAAGTGCCATAGCTGTAATGATTAGAGATATAGTTATACTGTTACAATAACATTCACAAAAAGAATAATGCAATTATTCGACAATAAGTTTCAGTTGACTACTTTCAATAGGTTGATTGATTGAAGTTTCAGTTTATGACTGTGCAGATATTTGTACATACTTACTTGATATAAGACTAGGTGATATTCCCCTGGGAGTAAATTGGAAAACTGTGCCACAATTTAGGAACATAAGCCTGGATAGTGTTCGAAACACCTTGAAGCCAACGAGTGGGCCATTACCCATACCAAATTCACATTCTGTCCATCCTTTCTCTGAACTTAAATGTCTATTGCTTATGTTCACCGACCCAGTACCTGTAAAAATGTACACGTTTTCAAATTAGTGCACATACAGTAAACAATGTACGTCATACATTCTGTTGTCATGTTTAACTAAATTGCACCTATGCCATTTTGAGTGGATATGTTTCCTGACAATGTCATTGTGTCTCTTAGTGTTACGGGTGCATCAATTGATTGTTGAATAGTCATCCCAGATACTTCAATATTCGGGATGATTGTGGTATCTTCCCTGTAAAATTAAATATTATTTATTATCACTGCAAATTACTTGTGATTTTAGTTACTGGAGAAACAAATAAGTAGATAAAAATCATTGTCAAGATAAAGTACACTTACATAATTTCATATTCGTCATAGTACTTCATAAACATATCTGTTGCATTAATAGAGAGGGTTATAGTTCCTCGTGGATTTGCACTTTGTTGCAGTCTTCTCTCTTCTCTTTCTCGTTTCAATCTAAAAGCAGAATTGACCAACATGATTAATATTGATTTTTTATAATACTTACCAACAAGGGATAAGGATAATTTATTGATATTATCTACTAAGATAGAATATAATTGTGGCCAACTGCTTAGAATGCCAACCACTTTACCAATTAGCAGATGACATTACAAAAGAAATCAATTTAAAAATAAGGTTAGGTACCAAATTTACAATGTCATTTTATACATTTTAAATATTAACAGGGTGCAAAGAGACCCTTAATGGAAATAAGAACAGCATATTCTTCCCATCATTACCAATATTATCTTGTGTGGGGCCATATCTGGGAACCTGACGGTTATGGAGATAGATGTTGAGGATGAAAGTGAACAATTTATTTCATGTTCTTTACGAAACCTGTTTTAAATTTTATTACTAAACTTTCTTCAAAACAAACATACTTTTTTTCTTAAATTTACAAGTAAATGAGGCATTTGAAATTACAAAACAGCAATGAATATCGAACATCCACATGATGATACCGCCGCTGTCAATGCAATGTACACACACAAACGAACGCATGTCAGCTGTACCACAGGTGGACAGATGAGTTTACATCCAAACAGTTATTTGTGGCACCGTACATTTCCTTTATTATTAAAAACTAATTAAGGTTTTTTTCCTGAGCATTTTGTTTTGTCTTAACACAATTGTAATACAAAAAATTAAACAAAAGAACCGAATGCGACATATAGCATCGATCGATCAATCTCCAATAAAGCAGCTCGTGGCGGCGCGCGGGGAGATGATACTCAAAGTTTTCATAGCATTTGTTTTGTTTTAGTTCGAATCGTGACTTCAATAAGTAGTGTAAATTGTATAACGTTTTATCATTCATGTTATTTCATTATATTCATTTCGCATTATGTAGCGTGTGTGTTTTCTGTTTGAGTGATAAGAACTTATGAAGATACCCGGGCATTCATTTAGTGCTTGAGACTGTGTTAACAAGGTTTTATTTTATGGTATGACCCATAGAAATGCCTCTATTTAGATTTTATGGAAGTAAACATTCGAGTGCAGTTCTAAAGTATAGGTCTCATTGTGGTGAAACCCACGCTTTGAAAGTTCTACACAGTTCTAAGGTTCTACGAAAGACTACAAGGTCATCTCGCTTAGTAAGTACATACTACAATCAGACAACGCATATTGAAAACACTCACACTGTTGCATACATTACATTGTGCATCATAAAAAACACCCATTTTTTAATTACTAAAATTAAGAGTTGTTCCCCAGCAATTATTTTTGCTTCTTGTGCCTCAGTTTGATGTACCTTAACAAAGTCGAAATATACGCATAGTGCACATATTTCGGCTTTGTTAAGGGTCTTTTTACACCCTGTATATGATACATTGTAGATTTGCATTACCTTTCATATTCCTCTCTGATTTCCCTTGGAGTGCGTGTACGGAAGATAACTTCCCAACCCTCAACTTCTAATCCACGCTTTCCTATAAATAAGATTAAACAAGTCAATTGTCAGTAAATCGTACTTCACATGAAACTGGTGATAAAAAACTGTAGTAAACACATAATCAAAAACTTTACTATATTAAAATGTTGTAAAGTTTTTGATTATGTATTATAGCATCAAAAACTTCTTCTTACGGCTACAACAGTACAGATGATATACTTGTGGCAGAAGGCACAGATAATGTGACCCTACTACTATGTGAAAGGTACAGGGATGTTATCATTTGGCTAGTTCTTAGTATTTTATATTAATGTTGAATTTAGTAGGGTTTAATGAACATATAGTACAGCTGAACATATACCACTATTACAAAAGCAGGATTAGCCTCAATGGCAATGGTGCTACCATCTAATACTACTAGTCATTGATCACCTTCTAAAACATTAAGTGAAGAGATTAGATGTGACTTGTATCAAAGCTAAAACTAAATATTTAAAGGCATCTAAATTTTATTATCACACGTTTTACCTAGTGTATCATAAATTGCTCTCTTGTGTGAGTCTGATAACACTTCATATGCCTCTTTAACTTTGTTGAATATCTGTTCAGCCCATTTCTGCTTGTTTGGGTCCATACTGTGTTTGTCTGGGTGGAACATGCGTGAAAATCGCCGGTAGGCACTATTGATTTCTTCTGGGGTTGCCTGTGTAAAGAAAGTACCTTGATATTTATCGTAGATATTTTAATTAGCTTTATCATAGGTATAAAGGGGTCTTCATCTAGGTGGTACATAAGGCTGGAAGTTGAGTTGACCAATCTGACCAATGATGAAATGGAGAACGCAGATTATATATTTAAATTTCAGCGTCATATTTTACTACATGAATTACGTATATTTAACAATTTTATGCCAATTTACTATGCACTGATGCACCGCATCTAACCTAAAAATTAATGACATGCTGCCAAGTACAATTAGAGCTAGTCTCGGAGAATTATATTAACATACAGGTATTTGTGCTCGGTAAGTCATAATCTTCTACCATTATTAATTTATAAAATACAATTACGTTATATAATATCGATAATGAAAAACACACAAAGATGTTGCAATAAAACATGTTACATTATATTTACCGTCTTCGAGACATTTAGTAATTGATAGTAATTCTCTTCTAACAAAATACTTTCTCCTTCTTCTTCCATAATGTGTAAATTTTAATAATATTCAAATCTAAAAAATATGCCTCTGAGTCCAACGATAGAAATTAGTTCTTTCTAGTGTCGTATGACAGTGATGTCGCCACTAACCGGGTTGTTGTCTTGTCTATTGTCTATTAAATAGACTACTGTTCGTTTCATAACGGTAAAAGGAATTCTGTCAAAAAAGCATTGGAAATGGCTATTCTATCACTGCTGATTTTTTATTAATATATAATCTTGCCTTAATGTGCAACTATATATAGCAACTATACTCACAAGTATTTACATAAACATTTTGAAATATTTAAAAACTATGCAATATTATATCAAATAACACTATTGGTACGTATGTCTTTTTTAAATATATTAAAATGCTGTATAAAAACATTTAAATTTTAAGTTTGCAAAAACAAACTCCGCAAAACATATAATGTAATTTTTTACTGAATAGCGTTTTGTTATTTACGAAAAAGCTGCTAAACCAAATTTTATTAACACCAATACATAAACTATTCACTTGTGTAGCAGGGACACTATTATTTTGTACTTTGTTAGATTCATACTAATGTATTTAAATAAAAAAATAGATGCTCATTTTGAATCACAGCTCACAACAAAGGACACTTGATTTACATTACTTGAATATTAATAGTGGAACGAACTGCTATTTTTAAAACCGGACGAGTTGAAATCGTCACTGACGGTGTCATAGACAATTTCATTCTGTGTGTGTGAGTAAACTGTTCCTGCCGAATCAAACGAAAAATGTAAAATTGAATAAATTATACTCTTTCAAGTCTACCACAATAATTCGCTATATTAATGTTTTTAAATGTAGGGGTGGGACTAACACTTAATTGCGTCTGCTGACCGCGCGTCAACCCGAATTAATTTGGTACGTGGTAAGTAATCAAAATATTTTTATTTGAAAATTATATAGTTTATTTTCCTAACTGTGTAAAAGGAAAATTGATATTTTTCTGTTTCTTCTAAATATTTAATTCATTTGCGCGATATCCAGGTGACGATGCATGATTTTGCTGTGATCCGATGCGAAGGCTTATATGGTAATCGAAAGGTGTGTAGGTGTTAGCGGTTTTGAGGAAATTAAAATGGCTCAAGTGTGTCCTTTCAGGAGTAAAATCGAGTAAACATTTATTTTACTTTGTTTTAATGGCTAACTACTCTAACATCTCCACTTTTCACTTGAGTCACAGCTTTCCCCATAATAGGCATAAATTATACAAAATAAGTTATGTGTGAAAGTTTATCTGGATACCATAATAGTGTGCCGAATATTTTATATTACATAGCTGAGCGAGTGGAAGTGATAGCTATACTATGCAGATGCTTTAAACACTGTACATTAAAATAGTATAACTTTAGACTGCAATGGTTACAGTACTTGATAAAAATACAAGTTTATTTGAATAATCACAGCCTTCTAGATTACGAAAAAAAGATACTAGTGTTGCTTGTGATATTACCTATATGTATTTGTTTACATAAAAAAGCATCTTTTTTATAAATTGCAAGTGAATATTCTCTATACCTTCAATACAATTGGCAGTTTAATCAACCTTTACTAGCCATAAGACATGGTTGTGGAGCCTTTAATGTACATGGAAATAGAGGGCAGATCTTTCATTATTAAGGTATAAATAAAAAAAACATGTGTAAGTTGAGGACATTGTATAGTAGATAAGGAATTTCTTTTCTATTACACATTAAAAAAACGTCTGTGTTGTGAATTTTTTGCTTGTTTTCGTATTTTGAACCCATTGGACCATCACTATATTATCAAAAGTATGGCAGTAATGTAAATGTATCAGATTGTATAATCCATTACTGATGACAATATTGTAAAGTGATTTTTAGATGTATGATGATATATTACTAACTGTAAAAGATGTTCAATTATATTGGTCAACTTCATCAGATAGAAGCTGAATATCACTGTATATTGGCAAATATTTCCCTTCATTTTTTTTAAATTAGTTTGGAAATGTAACAAATATTATTTAATAATGTTGTTCAAAGAAAATAACAATTTACATTAGCATAATGAGCAGCACGATTACATTATATTATATACATTAATATGGAACTAATGTTATTATTAATGTAACTTTTATAATATGTTATGGTGGCTTTTCATGGATGAAAAACATGACATAATAGTGATGCCAGGTAAAATCGCCTAATGCACACACACATGCACACACTCAACATAGCCCCGCTTTAGGGAAAAACCCTGTGGCGCGGGTGCCATGGACACACACATGGACTCACAGATAGACTCACAAATTTTAATGAATATACACATATCAAAACTGACTATGGATCAAGCATGTTTTTGCCAATTACTGAAAATCAGGTGTTTTGATTAATTTCTTTTTAACTCTGTTGGATTTTTTTTGGTCAATTTTATAATTTGAGTTTGAAAATTAAATTGACCAAAAAATCCATCGGTTTTAAAAAATTCTTTAAAATACCTGATTTTCTGTGATTAGCGAAAATGTGCTTTATCTTTAGACACTTTTGATGAGTGTATGTATATATAATCTGGTCTTTGGTTGACCTGTTTTTCCTTTTGTACAGTTTCATCTGTCTATGTGAGCTAAAGTCAGATAAAAAATGGATATGTAAATGGTAAAATTTGCAAACCTCTAGAATTTGCCACTACAGCATACTCTGGCTCCTATATACATATATTACATAGGTCTGGGACAGCTTTATTGTGGTTATTGTTTATTATAGTAGACTGTTTCTGATTTCTGTTAATACTATATATTAGTGTTGTAATGGAAATATGAATTTAGGCAGTATTATAGACAATCACGTGGAGGCTGTCTCTGCTTATACCGATGGGAAAAGGGTGTGAAGTATATGTATGTATGTATTCATCAAGTTTCAATGAATATGAGTTAGGAAATGGCACTTCTAGCTGGATGTGGTAGCCAGTGCGTTGTAATTATTCTTTATACAATATGAGGTGTCAAAATCGTAAAATAGTTTCTGTTAAAAATTTATGGAATATAATAAAATTATTTATATTTTGTTCTGAAGCTTTAGTAATTTTGGGCTGTTTTTGGCATTGTATTCATTAGCTGGACTGTTTGGATTATCCTTACAAAATAAGATAGTAAAATTTGCAAACTTTCATTGTGCTAACTAAAACTGTGGTACAGGTGTAATATTTGAAAATTGTTGAATAGAATGTGCATTTCACAGAAAAAAATTACATATATTTTTTCAGGGTTGTTACAAACTGCGCAACACAACACAACAGGCTTATTGTCGAGTTTTGGGGGACACCCTGTACATGCAAATATAATATATAATAATAAATGTAATTTTTTAGTAGTCTGACCAATAGTAACTCTGAAATAGCTAGTAGAGTTACCTACCTGAATAGAAATGTTATATTAAACAAAGTTTTGATTGGTTAGGTGCACTGTTGATTTAAATATAAATTGTATAAGGCACCTTATTAACATACCTTTTAGTGAAAGGCTTAGAAAACTGGGACAATTTAACACTGACGTGTCTAGCTGCATTCTAAAACCCACATATATTTAATTATTTGAATTTTCCCTTGTTATAGATCAAGCAGTAAATTAATCAGGATGCCATCTACACATCTAAACTTGCGCGAAGATGATGTGGTTCGCTTAGCTCTGGAATTTCTCCACAATCGCGACTTACATATCACCCAGCTGTCGCTAGAGCGTGAAACCGGCGTTATCAACGGAAATTACGCTGATGACGTTCTGTTTCTGCGCCAACTCATCTTGGATGGCCAGTGGGACGATGTTTTAGAGTTCATTCAACCCCTTAGTGCGCTCAAAGCTTTCGAAAGCGATAAATTCAACTACGCAATTCTCCGACACAAATATATAGAGTTACTGTGCATCAGGTCTGAAATAAAAGCTTATAATAATGTCGAAAATATTGTAGATGAAGTTGTTAAAGTTTTGAGCGAATTGGAGAAATTGGCACCTTCGAAAGAAGAATACTCAAATTTATGCTTACTGTTGACTTTGCCCAGCATCACTGATCACGCACAATTTAAGAAATGGAATCCAAGCAATGCTCGTGTCCAGTGTTTCCGAGAAGTGTATCCACTTGTAGAACAGTTCTTACCATGTGACAAAAAATCTAGTGGTACAGTGTCAAAGTGCGCCAAAAACGATCGCTTGATGCAATTGCTTATAAAAGGTATATTGTACGAGTCATGTGTTAATTATTGTCAGGCTAAAGCTACAGGCTCTAAGGAGGCACAGTCAAATGAAGTAAACTTTTCAAGGTTGCTAGATGGATCTGGGTTTGATGAGTCAGATTTGAGTTTACTGTCATGGCTTCAATCTATACCTACAGAAATCTTTAGCGTACCATTCGAACAAAGAATGCTAAATGTAGATGTTGAGAAATTGGAACGGCCTTCATTGCATACTTCGTGGACGGAGCACATGCTCGTGACACCTATAAAACCGAGAACATTCCCTCACTTAGCAATGCCATTTAGGCGACCTCGATCAGCGGCGGATGCTATGACCAGATCATTGCGACCTCTTCCCGACGGTGCTCCACGACATCCAGCTGTTATGGCTCTGTCTGCTATAGACTATGGTCCCTCGTCTTCCTGTTTTGCCGGCTTTCATCTGACGGGTATTAAAGGGAGTAAGCTAATGAACACATCAGTAGATAGACTTTTTGACAATAAAAACGGTGACAGCATTTTTAACGGGCTCAACGAGGCACTGAAACCGAACAAAAACGGCGATAGGATTTTTAATGAACTTAATGAAGCATTGAAACCAATTGATGAGCAACATCTTAAAGCTACAGGAGATTCAAAAGCTAATGAGGTATTTGTTGAAGCTTCGAATGCCACTACTCCAGAACACAGAGGCCAGGACTACTCGGCTTCTACTTCGATATCGACTACAGCGGCATCCACTGAACGCTCCTCACTAGCAGAGCGGGCGCCGCCGCAGCCTGAACCGGCTATGACTGTTGGTGCTCAGGGAGATTTTCGCCGAGAATTACTAAAAGAATATCAAATACAAAAACAACGCGAATGTGACGATTACCTCCGCAATCTTTGCTCTTCGGATTTGAGGCAACAGAAAACGTAAGTACCTGCTCAATGTAAATTAATAAAGTACCATAAATTACGTCAATTCAAAAATTTTACTTTATGTCAATTTACAGAATGGAGCAAACAAATGATGCTGCGTTAGCTTTTCCGTCCGCCGTCAAGTATCCACAGCAGTCGCCTGACAAGCCTCGTGACTCTGCTTCATTCAACAAGTAATTATACCATGTATACAATTAAAGTGGATCAAAGAAAGTGTATAAAATAAACATATCGGTGCAATATGCACATCGTATATCATGCACTAGGTAATTTTCTTACGGTGGTGTACATTCATCGGTAGAGCGAGCATGCAATTTGTTCTGAATGTTTGGTCGCCGTTCATATGCCGTTTTCTCCAACGAGCCGATAAATTACATCGCATTATGATATATCACTGCTTCAATTTATTTCTTTAGTAATATGTTTTGACAGATGTAATACTTTTTTGTTTTATAATATTTTGTGTTATATTTTCAGGGCCAGTGACACACATGATACGCCGAGTGTTGGAGATCCTACAAACGTAAGATGACGTTGATGTATATTTCTCGCTTATATTTACACTCGCATGCATGTTCCTCTTTTCCGTCTCTCTTGACTGAGCACCGTGGCGGTGGCCAGCGTTGGCCGAGTTTTTCACTCGGACACTGCGGCACGTTCCATTTTAAGCGCATATCTTTGTTCACGGTACACCTCAGGCGTGAAGTTAAATTAGAAAAACTCTTCAATCAGTTGTCGTGTGGTACGGTCTTGGATATTCTGATTGAATTTGCTTATTAAATAGCCTTATTGTACGATTTTTAAATGTATGCATAAAACTGATTAAATAAATTGCTCACCTTAAGTCAACATGCCAATAATTGTGAAGAAAAATTTATTCGGTAATTTGCTGGCACTGGTGGTTTGATCCAACAAGTTTTTTTTAAGTGTCGGATCCGCCAAATTATCTTATTTTTAACGTGTGTGTAAGGAATGTATATCTAAACCATTGTTAGCCCAATGCATCGTTCCAAAATTCGTATTTCGAACTGAAAACATTATTTCCCTCATTTACATATGTTTCCGTTAGAAGTGGTTGAGTAGCGAAATTTGCATATGATTCGCCCTTCCACGGTTATACAGCAAACTTTATTTATTGACTGTCACGACTTAGTAACAATTCGTTTGATAATAAATAAGTAGTGAGAGCATAAGCTTGCCTACAATCAATCCGTCTTAACCTCAGAGCTCAATTGCTATGTTAATCCAGTTAAGCGGTAGGGAAATTTTATACCCATGACTTCAATTGATTGTGCTTTCGATATATTTCTCAGTAACTCCTTAATATTTTTACAAAAGGCCAGTTGTAACATGTCAATGTTCTTTAAATAGCTTATACGGTACTACGTGTGTTAAAAGAAGAACTAATTATAGAGCCTTGTAATAATAATGAGGTAATTATGAGATGTTTTCTTCATAACGATTCTCTTCGCATTTCTCAGTGAATTTTGTCGGTTTTATCAGCGAATAGACTTTAACGTATGATACTTGTAGATGCGTACACGTATTATACACCTTTAGTAGCTGGGGCCGTCGAAGTAATGTACAATTTTTTTTAAAACTGGAATTGTATGGAGCATTCGAAAAGTATAGGAGATAGAAGGAAACTGGCTTGGAAACTTACAGGTACTTTTGGCGAATACCATTTTGGCATAGTCAGTTTTTTGGTCAAGCCTGAGTTGTCCATAAAAATGAATAATATGGACTTTGTAATTTAATGCTCATTGACTCAATTTTTTGTAGCGTCTTTCATTGTGCCAGAAGAAAAAAATAGACAGCAGAAGTTTGCCAAGTTTAATAAAATGTTTTTTTTTCGTTCAGTTTGCGATCTTAATAGAACAGGAAGTCCAAAGAAAGCATTAGAATATTTTCGTAAATTCAACTTTGAAATGTTTATAGTTACAAAAATGAAGACACTGCCTATGAAAATGAGTCGGCAAATTACCTACTAAAATATGAGTGCGTGTTATAGGCATTTCAGATAAGGATGCTTTGAAAGCTTATGAACACGCATTAAGTGGTCCTGAATCTTAGTTTTTGTGTTACAGTCATATAATAATTCATTTAATTTGAAAAGTCTTGAGCATTTCAATATAAGGAAACATTGATAAATAATCATTGTGGTTTAAACCTATTTTAATTTTTTATTATTATACAAAGTGACAGGAGGAACAAGTCGTGCTCCTGGTGGTAAGCGACACGTCTGTCTATAACACTTGCTGTGCCACACAGAGCTTAAAATCTCAGACTTCTGAGGGTCATTGCCACTGCGCCCGTCACTTTGAGACACAAGTTTCAAAGTCTCATGTGCCTGTAATTTCACCAGCACCCTTACCCTTCAAAACCGGTACGTAATAACGCTCACATTACGGCTTGGCGGCAGAAATAGGTAAGGTGGCAGTGACTTCTTCACTGGACGAATTTTTTCACAAGGAGCTCTACTGCTAACTTAGACTATTCGATTCTATCGATACTATATCGATTTTGTCGATTATTACCGTTTCTTTTAACAAAACATTACGTCAACGTCACGACTTATATATATATATA